TACAAAAAAAGCAAGCTTAAAAGGATGTAAAGCTTGCAGAAAGCAGCAGTCTTCCACTATGGCCTGTTTTCCAGTGAATGGTTTAATTCCCTGCTTTTCGCGTAATAGTTTAGTCTACTATTATCACAGTCTGTTATCAGTCTACATATTTAGGGCTGATGAATTTCATGCCAGCAAAAAAAAAAAAAAAAAAAAAAAGAAGGGAAAAAAGCCCTATGAAAATAACAGAAATGCTGAAGGAAATCTTTAAAATCAAACAGAACTATTGGGGGCATAAAAGACTAAAATGAAAATGGCCCTTAACTTTGTGTAAGTATCCATTTGGCTTGTCTGGTGACCACATGGAGTTTGAAGACAAGCTGTCTCAGTTTTTGCAAGCTAACACTGGTTTATTGATTCTTCCTTCGGCTCCTGTCATCGCTTTGTGGCATTAGATAGAGCTCTTTGCCATTGTTAACAGCAGGATAGTAATGTAATGGCCAGGACACAGAGCAGCAGCGGCTGGAGAATGGAGCACTGGGTGCATGCAGAATCCATCAGTGGTGAGCACTGCTAAAAGCACAGAGGGAGGGGGATAATTTCACAGTGGGTAGTTTTGATGGAGAGGCTGGTTGAGCTCCAAAGGCATGGCCAAGTATTGAAAGTCATCATTGTATGGATGCAGTCTCATGTCTTGCCATGTTTGTGCAACCTCAAAGGCAAAACCTGGTGGCTAAGGAGGGAGCAGGAGGATAGAGTGCTGCTCTGGGCAAGGAGAGCACCCAGCTCTGGGGAGGGAGTCGTGAACCTCCTTTTTGCTGTCGCTGGTAGTAATGCCAGGATGCAAAATCAACTGAACCCCCTGGGCAAGTCTGAAGTGGCACTTGCAGTCATTGCCCAGCAAAGCCCTTCCTTCTTCTGCCCACAGATCACTCTAAACAGCAAGTTGGCTTGGCCCGGTAGCTTTGGAGGTTCACCTTGAAGGTATCCTCCATGTTACTAAGCTGGGTCAGGGGCGTCTTATGGGACAACACAGCTCATAGGCCAGAGCTTCCATGTCAGATGTGGGGAGGCTCAATCCATGCTTGTGGTGGAAACAGCCTCTGCAAACTCCCAACTCCACCTGAGTCGGTGGAGCACTGGGATCAACCTCATGCTTCCTTTTCTTGGCAGAACAGTTAAACACACCTTTTGTGTCTCCATCCCCTAGTCCTTTGGCCTTGGCATCCGTAATGGATGCGAACCTTGCTGAGAGCTGATTCCCTCTCAAGACAGGCATAACAAAGGATGCTTTTTGTCCAAGTGTATTCAGTAGAGTATATATGTTTTTGCTCATTGTGACTATTGGAAGGAGGAGGAAAACAGGTGTGCAAGTTCACACCTTCATACTTGGCCATGCTAGGGCACCTGGCCAATGCTCTCAGCATGGACAACAGTGAGATCATAAGAAACAGCCCCAAGAGTAAACAATTGCAGATCTGGTATAAACCCAGTTGTTTTTCTAAGGGTATAAGAGCAGGGCCCTCTTGGAGCAGAATCTGAATCCTCACCTAAGGGTGGATGCACCATGCAGGAATTTTTCCAATTACCTGAGACTCCTGGCATCGGCTGCAATGGGGCTTCCAAGCTGGAAATGTGGGCCTGGATGGTGATTCAATGGTAATTGGAGTGTATTTCTTCTTAGTCTCTGCTCTCTCTATGCAGTAACAATTTGAGGCATTGCTAATTTTCCTCTGTACTTTATATATATAGGACTCTAATTTGCTTCACTGTACTTACTTACTATATATATATATACACACATACCAGCTCTGTTAGTGTGCTTGTTTGCTTTCACGTGCTTATTTACTTTAGTGTGCTTGTTTAATAAACTGTGCATATTATACAGCTAGTCTGTGGTCACTTTGTTGTGTACCCTGCCTGTCAGCAGAACAGCATCCTCCCTTACTTCTGGCTGCAATTTGTCTATGGTAGCAGACCCCTCACTGCCTCACATGACTGCAGGACAGCCAGTGCTGGCATCAGCTGCTGGAAGGCTAGGGACCAGCAATGGCTTGCTCCTACTCCTGCCAGGAAGCTGATGATGGAAAGCCTTACTATGTTTGGTGAGATTTTTGGTACTTTTCTTTTTTTCTTAAAGCTCCAGCTCTTAGAATCACATGAATATATCTGAAATCACAGATTTCATTTACTTACATTAAAAAACATCTCATCCCTCTTGTTAGCAAAAGAACCCCAACCTTCTTGAAATGAGGACTCTTACATAAGATATAAAGAAGAAGCCAAAATAAGGTATTTATAGCCATCCCTCATCTCCAAATGTCCCATTGTGTCAGCCAGTTTTGACTGAGGTTTAAGATCGCTCTGTGGCAAAGTCCAGATCCTCCCAGGTTTTCCACTCCAGGCTCCCACCAAATACTGTGAGATGTTCCCAGGAGAGCAGCTCCACTAGGACTGTGGACTTTGGGGGCAGACACAACATTCCCAAGTGAGCAGGCATCAGTCCTTCTCTTGTTGAGTGCTTAATCCTTTCTATCATGGGATCCTTAGAAGCTCATGGTCATCTCACCTGTGTGGATATCGTGGTGCACAATATGCTGCAAATTCTAGGTGAGGTTCTTCCCATAGTCCAGGCACTTGTACTTCTGCTGACCCATGTGGATCCTCTGGTGCTCCTTGATTTGGTGATGAACCTTTTGCAGTCAGCGCAGGAAAATGATCTCTTCCCCGTGTGATTCTGGAGGTGCTTGGTGAGGTCCACCTCCACCTTGAAGGTCTTCCTGCACTCAGTGAAGGCAAGGGGCTTCTTCCTTCTCTCAGGATAACTCTGTGTGCTGTGCTTGGTAGGGTCTTCCCCACTGGCCTCCCTCCAGCTTTGATGCCGTCTCAGTCATGCAGCTCTGAAGCCCAGTCATTATCACTCTTGTTCTCACAGCCTTCAGCCTCTATCTCCTTCTTATGGTATCTCTGGTGGGTTGCAAGGTTGCCCTTGTGGTTAAAACTGTCCCCACAACTCATGCAAGAGTACAACTTCTTGCGAGTGTAGCTGAGAAAATCCTCTACCTACAAGAGCTCAGCATCGTCATGGCTGGCTGTTCCACCACCTCCTTCTTCAGAGGTGGGGCCTGGGCAGTGTTCACTAGGACAGGCATTGCTGGGAGTCCTCCTGGCTGTTGCTACAGGCTTTTCCTGCCTGCCAGGGCTGCTGGGAGGTAGCAAACATGGATGGGAAAGCTTCTGCACTGGTTTGAGTTACTCTTCTTTAGGTGAAAGCTTATGTTTTCCTCATGGAGGCTGAACCTGAGAAGAAACCAAGGCAGGTGTTATTGTCAAGGCCAAGAGGAAAAAAAAACAACAAACCAACTGCTTTTAGTATAGCAAGCAGACATGGTGAAAAAGAAAATTGTAAATAAAAGCCCAGCCAAGCTTAGTTAATTCTAGTAAAACCAAAGGCCAAGAGACTGTAAAATCTAGGAAGGGATTGAAGGTCATTGCTGGAACTGCCTGGCACAGGCTGGAGGTTCTCCACATCTCCAAGTATTCACAAGAAGAAACCGGTGGTATGGTGGCTCCTTGTGCTGAGCTGATCTCTGAGCAAGAACAAACACCAAACTCTATTTCCTTCAGAGAGGTGTTAATGGCTGATGGTCACAACCATCAGGGACCAACTCACAGTCATCAGCACCTTCAGAAGTAAATCCCCTTTGTTAGCAGGCACACATAGACCCATTTCTGGAGCATTCCTGGGGTCGTGAGTCAGGATGACCAGACCAGGACCAGGGGCCAGGGCCAGGAACCCATGCAAAGAGTAGTCACCGAGATCATCTGCACCTCTTTCAGTGCACTGGCAGAGAGGGACCTTCTGGGATCACAAGGGTAAGTGTTAAGGATGAGCAAACAGCTGCTTGTCTCTGGGATGTCTCACGTTGTACTCCCAGCACTGAAATATCACACCTGTGGAATGGAACTGCCAAGCATTGTCTAAGGCTCATCTGGCTGTGCAAACCCTATGGGGCTCATGTCCTCAGCAGGTGCACGTCTATTTCTATAGGGACTTTGTGTCACATCCAACTTGGTGATGGGACAATGACATCTGGGTCATGGCTGCAGCCAGACAGGCTGGAGGCAGAAATGAATCTCACACCAGTGTCCTCATTTCTCTGTGCAGGACCAGGGCAGACACCAGAGGCTGTGCAAGGCTGCTGGAGCTGGTGGCCAGGAAAACAACTGAATGGAGACAGTTGTCATCCTGGTGTCCAGGGCAGCAAGGAATCAACTCCTTTTCCTGCCCCCTTTCCTGCAGTTGAACTGCCAAAGGTCCAGCTTTGCCTTGATGCAAATTTGCAGGTTGTCACAGGTGACCCATGAAGGGTGCAGCCACAACACCACCACCAGCATTATTAACCCAATTGCATTACAAGTCCAGGCTGAAGAAGAACCTATTTGCCACAGACTTTCTTCATGGGAGAAACAGTACCAAACTGTCCCAGGAACTTACCCGGGGCAGCTCCTGGCTGAGTGGAGCAGCCAACTAAAACTCTCTCCTCCCTTGCTGCTTTTCCCAAGTGCCCCAAGGTGCCCTGAGAAGCCTTTGCCCAACCCCTCACCTGGGCAAAGGGAGCCCTGATCCATCAGGCTCAGCAGCCTGATGCATCCCAGCAGGCTTCCATCCAGGGGCATTTGCAGCACATCTGCTCCTTTCTCACCAACAGAAAGGATAGGTGTTGGGTGAGATGTTCTTTGTGGACCTTTCAGTTAGGCTGAGAAATGGAGGTTGTTTTTACTCTCTATGGTCACCAGCTTCTCAGTGCCCAGAGATGATTCCAGGCAAACTGTTCTCCCTTGCTGTTCCATTTGCTGGGATGTTTTTCCCAGTGATGGCTGCCTGTCAGCACAGCTGCTTGAGTTATGCTTGTGAAACACATGAACAGAAAAGCTCCTCTACTGTTGCTCTGCTCCTTTTACTGGGAATAACACCCCCTCCACCCTCCAGCACACACACAGGCACAAGCAGGCTGTGTATTAACTCATTCCTGCCCATGCCTCCCTCACTCCTGAAAGCACTTGTTGCACAGACGTACCAGAAGCATCAATTTTAGGCAGATTTTAAAGGATGGCTGCCCCTTCCCGTGTTGTGCTGGTGTTCCTGCTCCCTATGTTTAGCCAAGCTGCCTGCTCCCGGACTAACCATATCTCTGACCTCACCGGTCACTTCCATCCAGGGGAACAAGCTAGGTCTCTCAGGCAGGATTCAGGCTGAGAAAGACAAGGGAAGCAATTTATCCCAGCTGGGGCAGTCTACTCCACCACAAACAACCCTGACAAACTGGCTTTGCAGCAGTGACCCCAACTCCCAGATGTATCCTACTGCTGCTCTGGGATGCTGTGGGACACATGCAGACACCACGAAGGGGTTCAGTCCTCAGCATCCCATCCTGGCCCAGACATCCCAGCTCAGCTATTTACTGACCTGTCTCCCATCTCCCTCAGCAGTACGTAGGTCTGGAAGTATCCAAGTGTTACTGGCCAGATTTTCTTATTTCTACCCACTTTGAGCTCTTCTTCACCTTCAGCTACTTCATTCACATCTGCTGGTGCTGACTCACAGGAAGTCTCTGTCAGTGATGTAAAAACTACCGAGAGGGAGGAGAAACAGAGGAATTGGGTCAGTGAGAGAAGGGGCTTGGGGTAGGAAACAGCAGCCCTAAAATACCTCAGTTTATGGTGGGGGAGATCTCCAGCCAATGCTGCCTCCCTGACTGCACTCCTGCCTGGCTGCCCAGTGCCTGGTCCCTCCACAGGCACTGCCTGGGCTGCAGGCTCCTGGGAGCTGTAGTCCTCCGCAGGGATGCTGCTTGCTAGGTTGCTTTGGAGGATGCCTACATTTGGTGGCTCTGGGTTGTTACAGGGAAACACAGTGCCCATGCTGCAGCAGGCTGGAAATAGCTTTTGATTTACATTAGTTCTCTTCTTTAATTGCTATTTTTAGGCAGCTGAACTGCTTTGCATTAGAAGCCCCCACGTAGTTCCAAGCTGTCCATGTGGATGCTTTCACTCTCTGTTTGCGTGGATGACTCCCTTGGAGCTGTGCAAGCAATTAAAGCCACCCTACTCTCCTCTTCCCTGACCTTTTAGTCTGTGGATCTCAAAACACTTTGCAAATGGGAAATGCAGGGATGTGACTTGAAAGAGAAGGTCTGGTGAGGCAGTGGCAGAGCTCAGGTCTGCATCCTCTACTAGACATGGTGGAGGAGTCTCAATCAGTGAGACCAAGAAAATGGTTTTGTCTGTGTGGCTGTGAGTCCCCTTTTAAGTCTCCATCTCCCAGAGGAGGTTGGACTGCCTGTTCCTGGATGCTCTGTAGCAGGTAGCAAGCTGGAACCAGTTGCCCAGAGAAGCTGTGGCTGCCCCATCCCTGCCAGTCTTCCAGGCCAGGTTTTACAGGGCTTGGAGCAACCTAGAAGGTGGAAGGTGTCCCTGCCCATGGCAGGGGGTTGGAATTGGATGAGTTTTAAGGTCCCTTCCAACTTAAACCACTCTGTGAGTCTGTGATTATTCAGCTTTGTTGAGAATCTTTGGGGTTCTTTTGTTGGGGAAGTTCTCACTTCTCCCTCATTCATATTGGCAAAGCTACACACCGAAGCATGTGGGTAGGGAGGGCATATTCAGGCTGCACAGATGTATAATGATACAGTTACATGCCTGCTTTTCAAAATTCCCCTGCAGACTGGGGCTAAACCCTAGGCATTGTGTTGCTAAGGGCAGCAGGATGCCTTCTGTGCTCCAACCCAGCATCTGGCTGACCATGCTGGGATGCAACAATAGCCACAGACCTTCACAGCCCTGTTCCACTTTCCATGCTGGGTGCTTGGCAATCAGTTTGTGAAAAGCAAGCAGAGTGGAGTTAAGCAATGTTAGGCTGTGCATTAGTGGCTGAGCTGCTCTGAGCCCCTGGCATCTGAAAGTGATTTGGTGAGTAGAAACAGGCTCCCTTAATGCTGAGCTAAAGATGGATCAGGCTTATTATTTGCATGGAGATGTTAAGATGAAAAGTAGACTTATTTTCTCTGCTACATACTTTGTAGCAGAGAATGCCTTTAGGAGATAAAAGAAATTGTTATGACAGACAACTAATCACAGCACATCCTTGATAATTCAGCCCTGTGAAACATCTGTGCACAGCATAAAAAGCAAACTGAGTAGTACACTCAAGAAGCATTTGATGCAGGCTGGGAAATACCCCATGAAAATTGCTGGGAATATGCTCTCCTATTAATGAGAAATATTTCCAGACATCAAAGAATCTCTCCCTCCCCTTTCTCCTCTGCTGAATCCCTGCATCAGTGTAGCAAAGGACAGCCAGTCAGTGAATGTCCCAGCTGTAAGGACAACCTCCTTTCAGCCCCATTTACCTTACATTCACTAAGGTTTAGCTGTCTGTTCCTCAGGCAGGCAAGGTCTTGTTAGTGAAGGTAATCCAGGCCTATCTTCCCCGAGAGTGCAGACATCCAGGATTGCCTCTTCCCCAGCTTTATCCTCTGTGGGACTGAAGTGCTGAGACACAGGAAGCCTATGTCAAAGGTCTGCAAAAACTACCCAGAAAAAGAGGATAGAAAGGGGCTCAAAGGGAGTCATATAGTGCTGCAGGAATTGGGCTCCTAGACCATCTGGGCTAGGTGTGACTGTCACCACTCAGAGCATCCCTCTTCCCCTCAGCCATAAGACAGAGAAGGGGCTGGGGAAGCAAAGGCTGAACCTCTGCAGGTCCTGCTTGGAACAGGAGCTCCTCATGCTCTATCCCTCTGTAAAGGCAAGCAGTAAGGAACACCTAGAGGGTCTGGTGTAATTTCTACCGTACACCACTTTATGGAGATAAGTCTCAGAGAGACCACATGTGCTCAACCTGTGCAGCTCAGATGCTGCTGCCTGCAGAGTGAGCAAAGGAGTGCTGATCTGTGACCTGTTTTCCTATCTTTCCAGTCACATTCATAGGGCTGGGGTAGGGGTGTGTGTTTATGTGTGTGCATAAGATACCCAGTTTGGGGTGGTCCATCCCAGGAAATTAATCACAAGCTCCTTAGTTTCTGATCACACCTGACCCCTTAGGTGGGGACAAAGGTAGGCATGCAGGCCTGGTTAGAGCGTTTTGCAACATAAAGATCACCTTGCAGCAATGACTTCATGTGGGCTCATGCTCAGGAAATGAGCTCTTGTGATGTATCTTTCCTTCCTGCACTTCAGCTCTTGTGCACAAGGATGTTCAGCCTAGGAAAACAACAGCAGATGATGCTTCGAAGAGAGGAGCGAGAACCCAGGAAGGTGCAGGAACATCCATAAGCTCATTTCTCATTCACCCCACCATAAGTAGCAAATGGAGTCATCAGTGGCATCAGCTAACATGGGGCTTTAATGTACCCTGAAGTCACTGATAGCGAGTCAATACAAACAGGCAAAGCTGTAAGTGAGGTTTGATCTGGATCTAACACCTTCCCCCAGGGAAGCCCAGATTTTCGTGATGTTTCCCAGGCTCCACAGCATTTCTTCATGTTAGATCTGATCCACAACTCATTTCTGCCATCTGGTCAGAGGCTTTACAGTTCCCTTTTCCACGCTTCACATTCCCCACTCTTCTCTCTGCTCTTCAACCTAACCTAAGCTAGTTAAAGTTATAATAAATTAACTTGATCAAAGTAAGACATTATTTGTCACAAGAGCTTTTCTGCTTCTTTGCCCATCCACTCTGATGGGGAAGTTCTGGGCCCTGCAATACTGGCTAAATAAGAATGTGCCCTTGACTATGCACAATGAGCTGCAGCTCAGTGGTGCAGCAAAAGGGTATTAGCGATCTCTGCCTGCATCCTAAGCCAACACTCTGAGCTATGACTAGGAGTAACCAGTTTTCAGGGTTGCTTAGCTTGTAGTTCACAAGATTCAGTTTCCTAAGCCCTTTTTCCCCTAAGTGAGCTCACAGCAGTGCTGTTCCAAGATCTCCTGCAGGGACTGGTTTTCTGCTCTGCAGGCATTTCTAATGGAAAGTGAACTTCAGCACAGTATAATGATGGCTTACTCTTGCATGACTCCAAAACCCTGTTAGTCTCCTAGCAGAAGTTGTCTTCTACATTCAGACACTCACTGTTCAATCTATTTTGTTTCTCGGAGGCCAGTGCACATGTAGAAATGAGTACAGTTTGTACCTTATTTATTTGCAAAGCATCTTATCCTATTTTTCAGATAATGAAAAAGGAGAAAATCTCGTGACTTGGTAGAGAAGGATTTCCAGACCTCTGCTTTTTACTTCTGCCTTTGGTTTACAGTGACTTGGAGGAGGTTGGTGCCCTTTGAAACAGCAGCTCCCCAGGGAAGAGGCCAGACAGAAGCAGAAGAGGCAGAAGTCAGCTCGGGGTGGGAAAAAAGAGTGAGCAGTGGGGCTCTGCAGTGTCCCCCATGGGACAGCAGTCCTTTTTACAAAGGATGGCAATGGGCTGTAATCAACTCCTGCAGAGAGCCACTGGCCAGCACTGCCCAACTCACCTACCCCATTGCAGGGGCTGCTCCTGCTTCCAGGCTAACCCTGATCCTAGAAAAGGAGATCACAGATTTTATTGACCTTGTTCAGAGTATCTGCAGCTGCAGACTAGTCAGAAGCTTTGGTCCTTTGATGGAAATCTCTCACCTTGGCTTTGTTCCAGCACAAGAAATCACTTTCAAGGGAGAAACTGTGCTTTGGGTCAGGAGATGGAGGCAGTGACTCTAAGCGTGCCTTGGCTACAGGAGGTTCAGCTTGATAACCTGGTCCCATGTAGTGCTACCTGGTTGCAACACTTTGGCTCTGGATGGGATGAGGGGTAGCTAAAGTGCTGGTTGTAAGTACTCATACCCCACGGAGGCTGCCAGTCACAAGTGAACAGATAAAGCCTGTGTAGAAGTATGTGATACTGAGTGTTCTGTTGCTCACCCAGTTTTCATCCTGGTGTTTTTCCTTTTCTCACTCCCCATCTGTATGGACACTAGGCTCCCTGCAGCCCGGGATTTGTGAAGAAGTTCTCATGGGAACTATCATATTCTCAAAAGGCAAGTAAACATCCCAGGGTACTTGTGTTGGAGCAGATGTTAGCTCTGGCCCCAGAGACCCTCTCGTTCCCACCATACCAGAACATGCTGAGCACCAATCAGCTCCATGCATTCAATTGAAGCATAAAATAAGCACTCTTGCATAAGAGCCTGTCTCCATCTTTCTTCCAGACAAGTCATGCTGAATATTAGAACTGATGCTGAGATTATGGACACAGATAGTCAATGAGGTGATAAAAAATAATCCCACAGCCAAATTCCTCCTGAAATCCACAGAAACAATGTACATGGCTGGAGATAGGACAGCAATTGTCTCAAGACAAGCCTTACCTGACCCACTGTGCAAGACAAGATTTCTTCTTAAAAGTCAAAAACCAGAGAAGAGGCTTATTTTTGTTTCTTTTTTTCTTTAAATAGTTTCTTTATTGAGGAGATATTACAAACTACCAGCCCCAACTATTCCCAGAATTTAGGACACCCACACTGGCAATGGTCAACAGCAAAAGACCCAGTGACTTCCAGGAAAGCTACTGACATTGACTCTGTCCTGTCTGTGTGCACG